TGTGTGTGTGTGTCTGTGTGTGTAAGAGAATGGTGTGTGTTAACTGACAGTGTAGTGAGGGAGGGAGCCAACAACAGAATGATGAGGCCTAAAAAAAAAAGATAACTGGCAAGTGTTCAACACTGAACCCACTGTGCAGCCACAGCTGCCGTGTGAACCCAACAAGCCGTCCCACTGAGAGGTCAGCTGACCCGAGAGAAGCGGGGGGGGGTGTTGATGGTGATGATGTCATAGCATCATGGCTTCAGTGCTGCAGTGTCTCCCTCCTCCCTGCATGTCCCAGCTCACCTGCTCACCCACCAGCCCGGCCGCGTCCCATTGTTTTCCCAGCCCGATGCAGCATCTGCCCCCTGAGCAAGCTGTTCGTTCTGTTCGTTCTGTTCGTTCCTTACCCCCACCTTTCCTCACACCCACCCCTGACTCCCTGTGCTCTGAATGCTCAGCTGCTGTGTCATGACTTTTGCTCATTTTAAACCTGCACACTCATATAAAAGCTGAAATGCTGCTCTCTCCACCTCTGTCGCTATTTACTCTTTCCTTCCTACCCCTTGATTTAGTCTCTTTGTCTTTGCATCTTAAACAGTTTGTCTTTTGCTGTCGATGTCACTCTGCATGAAAACGTGTTGGATAATATCTTAAAAAACTACTAATGATTAGGACTGCAACTAAAATTTCATATTAATAATAACTTGCTGAACATGGTCTCATTTGATACACTTATTATTAGATTTATAAAGTGTCTGAAAACTGAGGAAAAAACCTCCAGTTCCATCGCACCATCAAGTTAACCTTGTTTTAAAGTAGCAGTTACTAATTCACAGGTCAAAAGTTTACCAGTCACAGAAAATGATGCAACGTGTGAGCAGTTGTGAAATGTTTTCTGTGACTCAGAAGGAGCTAAGACTCAATTTTGTCTTGATTCAAATCAGATCTGAAGACTTTGTCATAATCCTCAACAATGTTTGCTCTTCTTTAATCTCTTTTTTTATTCGTGTCATCTTCTCTAACTAAAACAAACTTGTAGCTCTGGCTTTGTGAAGTCTTGTATTAATTAACTTGTTGCTGTGACTTGCTTCTTATTTTGGTTTTACTGTAGAGACTACTGGTTTTGAACAGAGTCTGTAGGGAGTTTACAAAGTGTTTAGAAAAACAGCAAGGCTCTAGCAAAGTGTCGGAGTCAATGCTTTTAGAGCTCGATCTCCGTCTTGGAAGTCCCCCAATGTGTAGTACCAGGTACTTTGTCCAGATTACATAAAACATCTATTCTATAAGAATATCTATCTATGTCAGCAGTTTTATTGGGACTATATATTTGACAGAAAACAAGGTCTATGGAGAATTTAGAAAACGGGAACATTGCTTCTGAAAAAAAAAAAAAATTCTGATGCACCACAAAGAAAATTCCCTTCACTTCAACAGAAATCTCATGACGCATATTTTCAATCCACAACAAATACAACCAAAACTATGGGCATGACTAGATAATAGTAGGTTTATTTTTTGATTCAACCCAGTACAGAAGATAAATGGTGAACACAGAATTTTGTTAATCTTCTGCTCTTCCATCAGTCTCAGATCCAGTTCTTGTAAAATGATTAACTTGATGATGTAAGTAGAAGATTCATAATTGGCTTTTGATCCCAGACCTCTGATATTTACCAGCCTGTCACTTCTGACTTTTCAAATTGCCAGTTAATGTCAAATTATCTCCTGATGATTCATGTAATTTCATTACACTTAACCAGTCTGAAGATTGTAGAGAATCTGTGAGTTTTGTTTGACATTAACACTAAAGTGTGGCTCTCCCTCCTCCAGGCTCATTTGTTTATATTCTCTAGTGTGTGATTAGTTAATACAAGGGTCATTTTTACAGAAGTGGGTCCTTCTATGATTGCTGTGACTTTTTGTGTGTTCCTGTTGAGTCTGAGGAAACACACTTCTGTGTAATAACTTTTATTGTTAAACTTTAATACATTTTAACAGCACTTTTATAAACAAATTTACACTTTTGACAAAAAATATTATTTTTTTAACAAAAACACTAACAACTGTTTTGCATAGTATTTCTTGTGTTAGTTGTGTTTATATGCAACATATTGTTGAAAATAAGATAGAAAGGTGGGTTGCTGTTTCTTTGGTGACGTCCTCAGGCTGAGCAGTGTAAGCGTCAGAGTTACAGCCTGGTTGTTGGAAAAGGAGACGATTTAATGCATCCAACACCCTTCCTCCCCCAACCCCCTCCTCAGGTGGTGCGCGCCTCCTCTTACACCGGTGAGGGCATCCCGGAGCTGTGGGCCAAGATAGAGTCTTACAGGGACGCCATGTTAGCCAGCGGTGAGCTGCAGGGCCGAAGGAGGGCCCAGCAGAAGGTTTGGATGTGGAGTCTGATCCAGGAGAGCGTCCTCTGCCATTTCCGAAATCACCCCAGTGTCGGGGAGGCTCTGCCCCACCTTGAGGAGAGGGTCACCAAAGGAGCCATCTCTCCAGGCCTGGCTGCTGACCTGCTCCTGAAAGCCTTCTCCTCATCATCTTCATAGTTAACACTGGGACTGGATGGACGTCATGGTTCACCAGGGTCACACAGTGCCAAAAAAACCCACCAGGACTGAATAAGAATATGTGAACTTGACCCTATGGTTTGCACAAAAAGAAGCAGCCTTGCTCTTTCTACTCTTAATTTTAAATTTAAAATACCTGAGGCAGAAGTCACCCGTTCCACCGACTCACCTTAATCCAAATCAGCAGAGGCCGGGCTGAACAGACACTTTTCCTGCCTCACCTTCAGCTTCAAGACATTTGGAGATCGGAGAGAAACATTAAAAATTGCATATGTGAGAGACAATTTAAAGTCTGCTTGGACAAGAACACTACAACCTTCAAGAAGATGTTGAATAAAGAACTAAATAAGTAGGAACATGAGGAGGATTGCAGAGGCCACGTTTTTACACTTGGAAAACAATACACAATACTGATCACTTGTAAGAACAGTGTCTTCCGAGGGAGAAGCTGTGCCGTGATAAATACTGTCATGAGGGAATGATCTGTGATCAGTTATTGACACACTTGCCCACAGATTGCTTATTGTTTTGATGAGAGCACAAGGTTCAGAACACTGGGATCTGTACAATCACATCTGTCTCTTGTTGTGGAAACGGTTCTAATAATGAACAAGATGTTTTCTTATTCACTATGTTTGGAGTAGTGGAGTGGAATTATATATTAAAGAGTGATGTGAATCTTACATAAGTGAATAAGATTGTATCCAAGCTCAGATTTCTTTCTCATGTTTTTTCTTGATATGAAAAAGAAGGGACTGAATAATATTAGTATTTTATGGTCCTGCGATTTGTCCGAGGTGTAAACACGTTGTCTGTGCTCTGGAGCAGAAGTGTCGGTGCTTTGTTTCCCCTGAATGAATCTGCTCCTCACTTACTTCTAATTCAGGCAGGACACACTTTCATTTTTCAGAATTTCCTTCATAAAGCACTGCTCAACTCCACCAGAGAATAAAAGAGAAGTCACATACCCATACCCATTCGGCTCCTTTATTAGTTTTATGGCTGCTTTATTCAGGCTAAAGTGATAGACCTTGGTGTCTGTAGCATTGGCTTGTATCATCTAACAGGTATTTTCCACACATATTCAAAGTAACAAGTCATTAATGTGAGGATCAATACGTCTGTTTCGATGTTTTACTTTTCTAAGAGATTTCTACAACCTAAGTGGTCTTCTGAAGTTTGCTTTGCTTGATTTGCAGATATTTAATTTAGATTAAAAACTAGAATAGGTCTCCTTTTCATCAAAGAAAATTCTGAGAGATCACAGAAAAAATTGTGTTTAAAATCTTAAAAGTTAACGGGCTCTTCCTTGGGTGTTGTGAGCCAACATTTAAGAAGTGAAGATTATGAAAAATGCTTCACATGATGAGAAGGAGCGGTTTCTGTTTGACTCGCCGCTTTAATCCCACAGTTTAATTCATACACACGCTGAAAAGAAAAGTTCTCGGAAAACTTCACAAGTTTCTGCTCGATTAAAATGAAGTGAAGCGGCCGGGTACAATATCTGAAAAAATACTTTCAACTAAACAATTTAATGTCTTAATATATATCATCAGCATCTGCAGACTATTTTGAGCCATTTTATGAAGTGTAGAATATAGAGTTAGAAAAATTTAGATTGGATGTTGTAAAGGAATAAAACTCATTATGAAATATACACATTCTTCATTTAGCTTTTACTTTCTTCAGCCACTAGAGGTCTCCCTAATTCCACTCAGCCCTGGCTTCATTATCCTAATGACTGGGCCCTCAGTGCCAATCAGTCTCCCCCTCCATACCTCCCCGCCCCGCCTCCTGCCCTCCATCCATTCTTCATTGAGGTTGCCCAGGGTGCCAGGTCACTTGGAGGTGAGGACATCAGTGGCTGCCTCACTCCTGGAGCACAGGCTGTACTGTAGTGCTCTTCGCCCTCGGTGCCAAACCCCGCTCGCCTAATTCTCAGTCGTCGCTGGAAAGCACAAAGGAGTGAGTCTACAGTACGGGAGGGTTGAGTGTGTGACTGTACGGCTTTCACCCTCAACCCTCTCTCTTAAAAAGAGCCAATATTTCAAGCTAGGGGGAAAAAATGAATGTGAATTTAATACTAATCCACGTTTATCCTCACTCTGTCTGCTTTGGAAAAACTGAGCCTGAGCTCCCCAACCGCTGGACGGGCTCCCAGGTCGCTGCTCGTTTACTCCCGCCTGCGAACAAGAGGAAGAATGCCCCTTGAATGCAGATGGATTCATTAGGTCTGAGTAACACCCTTCTCCTCCATCATGCTGACACAAACGCATACACACTGTAACTGCCCGGGCTTTGTAGACTGGAACAGTGAGTTCTGCAGCTCTGGACGCTCTCCCCCTACACACACACAGACACGCATATACACACATGCATATACACACATGCATATACATACACACAGTCGTCTCCAGTGTAAACAACACCATGCGGTTTTCACTAAGGAAGATTAACTCAAATGCTGCTGGATCGTGTTCGGCCATTTTAGCCCAAACACAGAGCCCATCCACATGTGTTTGGCATTTCGCTGGATCTCTCGAATGTAAGCAGAGGACAGAGACTGGCTCTTTGATGAGGTTTATTTCATGTTTAATGGAGGAGCTTACATTGACAGTCTTTCTTTGTGTCAGCAGCAGTCAGAATGCTTTCCTGGCTCAGGACAAAGAGAAACCGGTGCCCTCACGCTGATGTAATTGCCGTCCCAAGAAACTCAGCCCCCCCCCCCACTTCAAACCCTCAGAAGTCAACGCTGAGCGCTGAACAATGGGGCTGCTATAAAAGTCAGTAAACAAAACAGACGTATCAGGGCACAGGCAGACGTCCAGGCTCTGCTTCTCGTTCTGTCTGGGTTGGAGTTTGGTTGTTTTCTGGTCAGATCAGAGCGCGAGGGAAGGCTGACACGGAGGGAAATGTCAGACGGGCCCTCCCACCAGGCGGGTGAGGGGGCTTTGTGTGTACTGCATGTGTTGCAGTGTGACAACCGGTCATGGGCTGCTGATCCACAAAGCCTCACCCCCCCGTCCCTGTTTGCTCTGCTCCTCACATACCAACACACTCACATACATGAACACGACTCCTGCTCCTCTTACACATGTTGTACGTACATACAAACCCATCCATCCCCTGCCACACACACACACACACACACACACACACACACACACACACACACACACACACACACACCCTGCCTTGTTGCCCACACAGCCGCTCCGCCTCGGCTGGCTGCACTGCTGTCTCTCTGTAGTGACAGATGAGTGTGTGAGAAGCATTTCCTCCAGGCTCACTTTCAAGACGGCTGCAAAACGATACAAGGAGCCACACACTAATGGGGTTGGAGAGCGGCAGCTAAGAGTGTGTGTCTGTGTGTGGATGCTGGATGTAACACCCCACTCATTATGCTGCTCTGATGGGTCACTGTGCAGCCTCTCTATAAGAAGACCCTTATGGCGACATGTCTTATTATATCAACTGCTGAGATGGATGTTAATACCGGGCTGCAGTGTGCATGCTGTGTGCTCTCTCGCCTGTCGAGTGATGAGTCGTGGCTGGTATTCAACGTGCGTCTCATGGCATGGGTTAATTCTATTTAACCTGGTGAAGTCTGCTCGATGGTACGGTCAGGACGCCCCAGGAGACCAGTATGTACCTCTGTGTTATTACCCACCTGAGGAGACTCGCTCTCCCACACATGCACACACCACTGTTTGCTATGTGTAATTTACTGGGCAGCCTGTGGGCCAGGCCTCCATCTGCAGGAAAGTGCGAATAGAGCCTTGGCGCCAGTAATTGGACTTTAGAACTGATTGGGGAACTTGATTGACCTCCAGTAATGGATTTGAGTGAATAATTATTTGTAGTTATGGTTGGAAGATGATATCAGGGAGAGAGAGACCAATCCCACCAGTGTGACTCACCCCTGCCGCCAGAGCAGAGCGCTGCCAGCACTCAATTAATGAAATCCAGCTGCTCAGACTCCCCACGTGTAGTGGCTGATCAAAAAAACACACAGGGGTCTGGTCAGAAAAAGGGTTATCTTCATCCAACCTTTCCCTTTTGCACAACTGGCAGCCTGTGGCCCATCACAATAGTGATTATAAAATCTTCTCCACTCCAGGTACAAGACATTAAGGTTGATAATGTCTCCATTATTTTTTAACTGCCTGTGGCACTGCTCGGCACAGCCCACGGCAGCCATGTTAATGAGACCTCTCAAGATGGCAGGCAGCGCCTCCTCAGGACACAAAATGCAATCACTCTTAATCCGGCACTTTAATTGCTGGCCAAGCCCGCCTAAGTGAATTCAGCTGTTCCATCTCTGCAGGCGAGCGGCTGCACCTCGAGAACGCTCCAGCATTATACTGGCTGAGATAAACTTGACTTCAAAACAAAGGGGAGATGTTGTGAGGCGGTGTGTGCTGTTAAAACTGAGGCGTCATTTCTCTGGTTTGAGGTTGTCTGACAGATGCTGAGGGGAAACACGAGCCAGATTTCCTCTTCTCTTCCTCCACTGCCTTTATGCATAATTCTGAGCTCTCTTCAGAGACTTAATATGCAGAGAGATCAGCAGCCACCTTCCTCACTTTGCTCTCTTTTATCTTCCTCTCTTTGCTCCTTGATTGACCCACTTGCTCCCACATCATTATCTTCACCGCTCTCTTCAATTTCTCTTTCCTCTCTTCTTCTCACTCTCCTGCTTTCATCCTCCCACCAGTCCTCCCGTCATATGTCCCTGTCCCCCTCCCCTCTCCCTCCGTGTGACCCCTCATTGCCCTGTTGCCAGTCTCTATTATTTCTTGCTGCCCAGTGGCCTGGTCAAGCTGGTGCTCTGGGGCTCCAGGCAGCCCGAGTTATGACAGGTAACACTGGGCCACACACTCTCTGTGGTAACATGTGGAGGTCAGCTTGTCATACCTGTCCACAGCTCCACTGTGCACACACGTGCGTGCGCACACACAAATGCCAGGATTTGCAGTATATGGATAACTGCCAGGAAGCCCCCACCATAACCTCGGATTCAGAAAAATTGAGTGATGAGGAGCAGTGGAGTAGAACCACACCTTCCTCCATTCTGCTCCTTTGTGCTCACAAAACAATGTATTTTTTCTAAAGGTCTTTCACGATGTGTTGCCTCTGAAGCCTTGGCAACCAGTAGAAATGCTGTAGCTGTTCCTGTTTAGCACCGAGAAGCAGGATTTAAGTGGATAGTGGCTGTTAACTACAGCTAGTCCCCTCTCTCTCCTGGCATGGCCTGCTCCCTGTGTTAATGACCACTCACAGTTGCTGCCCTGAGGGGACTGCAGGACAGAGTCAGCCAACATCAGACCCTCAGCACCTCCAAGACCATCTGCTCACACAAGAGAAAATATGTTCCGCATGTTATGTCTCTCGCGCATCCATTGTTTTTGGCTCGTAAGAGGAGAGGAAGTTAGTTTCTCTCATTCATAAGTTTTTAATGGGATGGGATTGCTTCAGCCGAGGATCCAAGAGTGTTTCCCACACGCATCTCCTGCTCGTGATATCTCTTTCCTATCCAGCCGCCCTCTATCAACTAATGAGTTTTGTTAGGTTCATGGCCAGTAATGAGAACAGTGATCCTCTACCTGACCGTACAAGCTCTATCCACCCTGGGCAAGATGGTGGCGCCCTGGTAGTCGATCAGCAGTTTTTGTTACCGTGGCATGTTCCTGGCTCCTCGTCTGATTCAGGGCGATGCCCCACATTACCAGGCCTGTGAGGGCCAAGGGGCCGGCATGGGTTTGTCACGCCAGGTTGACATTTCAGGGAACTTTGCCAGGAGACCACAGCACATTTCGTCCTCCCGGACAAGTGGTGTGGGAGCAAACGTGTCAACTCGGGCAGATGGGCAGACGTCAGTGCCAACCTCACTGGACCGTACCGGACCACTGGCCTAGTGACTGTCTGCCAGCCAGCCAGACGTAAGACTTTCTGGCACGTAGCGGAGGGGCA